TGGTGATGATGATGGTGGTGATAATGATGGTGGTGATGGTGATGGTGGTGATGATGATGGTGGTGATGGTGATGATGGTGGTGATGGTGGTGAAGGTGATGATGGTGGTGATGGTGGTGATGGTGATGATGGTGAAGCTGGTGAAGGTGGTGATGATGGTGATGGTGATGATGGTGGTGATAGTGGTGATGGTGATGATAGTGAAGCTGGTGAAGGTGGTGATGATGGTGGTGATGGTGGTGATTTTGGTGATGGTGGTGATGATGGTGGTGATGGTGGTGATGGTGATGATGGTGGTTTGGTGGTGATGGTGGTGATGATGGTGATGATGGTGAAGTTGGTGAAGGTGGTGATGATGATGATGATGATGGTGGTGATGGTGGTGATGGTGGTTATTGTTATCATGGTGAAGCTGGTGAAGATGGTGATGATGATGGTGATGGTGGTGATGGTGGTGATGGTGGTGATGGTGATGATGGTGGTGATGGTGATGATGGTGAAGCTGGTGAAGGTGGTGATGGTGATGATGGTGAAGCTGGTGAAGGTGGTGATGGTGGTGACGGTGATGATGATGGTGGTGATGGTGGTGAATGCTGGTATGCTGAGGACTTCCTGAGTGCCACACTCATTCTGAGCACTGCATGTGTTAGTCCGCTGAATGCACACAATCCCAGCCCTGTGGGGTGGCTCTAGTACCATTGCCCCACTTTACAGTCAGGAGAAGGCAACTAAGTAATTTGTCCAAGGTCACAGAGTTAAGAGGCAGAGAAAGTACAATCTCAGCTTGTGACCCTGATGTGGTATTGATGGTCAAGTTTATCTGGAGTACTTAGGAGGGTAGAGAGGGAACAGGATCAGGCATATATTCTTAAGTAGACAAGGGTGCACTCAGGAAGCCTGACTGGCACCTCCCTGCAAAAGAGCCGCTGCTGAGCTCCTGGGGGTTGCCCTGGGATCTACAAAAAAGGGCTCAGCCTGACAGCGTCTCAGGTGCCAGGTCCTCCTGTCCCGCACTCCCTTTGTCCTTCCTGGCCTCTGGCCCTTCCTCAACCTGGAGACCCCACAGGGAGCTCAGTCAACAATTTATCCCATGGGCAAGGGGCCAGGGGTCTGAGGAAGGTGGCTCAGCCCCCTTCAGCCAGCAGGGAAGTGGGCTGGGCACAGACAGGTGAACCTCTGTTCTAGGGCCTCTCCTGCAGCTGCAGGCAGTGCCAGGCACAGCTCTTGGACACCCCATAGCGGTTGCTGCGGACAGCGCAGGTGCCACGAGGCCATCCCTAACCAAGGCTCTTGATGTCTGCAGCCACCCCTCCCCTACAGGTGGCAGGGGCCCTACTGATGAGAGGCCTACCTGGCTCGCTTCAGGGACCACTTACTCCATGGGGGGACTGGGGACTTCAGACAGCAGGGTTTCTTAAGAGAAGGGCTCATCCAGATGTCATGGGCCATAGGGTAGGGGGCACAGAATTTCCCCTTGAAGAACTTGGCCTTGGGACTCTGCCCTAGAGGAAAGGACTATGTACACCTCTTTGTCTCCTCCTATAGTCTCACATTTTATTTATTTATTTATTTTTTTTTGAAGATTTTGGTTTTTTTTATTTATTTGACAGAGATTGGGAGCACAAGTATGGGGAGCAGCAGGCGGAGGGAGAAGCAGGTTCCCCACTAAGCAGGGAGCCTGATGCGGGGCTCAATTCCAGGACCCTGGGATCATGACCTGAGCCGAAGGCAGACACTTAACTTAACCAACTGAGTCACCCAGGTGCCCCATTCTGTTGTGTTAAAATACACATAACATGGGGCGCCTGGCTGCCTCAGTTGGTGAGTGACTCTTGACCTTGGGGCTGTGGGTTTGAGTCCTATGTTGGGTGCAGAGATTACTTAAAAGTACAATCTTTAAGGGGCTCCTGCGTGGCTCAGTTGTTAAACGTCTGCCTTCGACTTGGGTCATGATCCCAGGGTCCTGGGATCAAGCCCCGCATCGGGCTCCCTGCTCGGTGGAAAGCCTGCTTCTCCCTCTCCCACTCCCCCTGCTTGTGTTCCTTCTCTCGCTGTGTCTCTCTCTGTCAAATAAATAAAGTCTTTAAAAAAATAAAATCTTTAAAATAAACACACCTAATGAAAAACCTACTATGTTAACAATTTAAGTGTACAGCTCAATGGTATTAAATATATTAATAACGAACTACCATCACCACCATCCATCTCCAGAACTCATTTTGCAAAACTGAAACTCTGTCCCCATTAAACACTAACTCCCTGTTCCCCTTCTCCGGACACTGGCACCCACCATCCTACTATCTGATTTTGATGACTCTTAAGTACCTTATAAAAGTGTAATTGAGCAGTATTTGTCTTTTTGTGATTGGCGTTATTTCACTCAGCATAATGTCCTCAAGATTCAACTATATGCATGCGTCAGAATTTTTTCTTTTTAAGGTTGAATAATACTCCCTTGTACATGCAGACCACATTTTGTTCATCTGTTCATCCACCAATGGGCTTATGGGTTGCTTCTGCCTTTTGGCTATTGTGAATAACGCTGCTACAAACGGGTGTACAAATATCCCTTCCGAGATCTTGCTTTCAATTCTTCTGTGTATACACTCACAAATGGACCTGCCGATCATTTGGTAATTCTTTTTGAGAAACCACTGTAGTATCCACCACAATGGCTGCACGTTCTATTTCTACTAACAATGTGCAAGGGTTCCGATTTCTCCACATCCATGCCAACATTTTTGTTTTTATAGTTGCCCTCCTAATGGATGTGAAGTGGTATCTCATTGTAGTTTTGATTTGCATTTCCCTCATTATCGATGCTGAGCAATTTTAAATGTGCTTATTGGCCATTTGTGCATCTTCTTTGGATAAATGTCTACTGGAGTCCTTTGCCTACTTTTGAATTGGGTTGTTTGCTTTTCTGTTTAGTTTTCGTTCTCTATTCTGGATATTGATCCCGTATCAGATGTATAATTTGCAATATTTCCTCTCATTCTGTGGGTTGGCTTTTTACTCTGTAGATGTCTTTTGATCCCCAAATTTTAAAAATTTTCATGAGGTGCAATCTGTCTTTTGTCCATGCCGTTGGTCTCATATCAAAATCATCAAGTCCAATGTCATGAAGCTTGTGCCCTACGTTTTCTTCTAAGAGTTTTGTAGTTTTAGGTCCTTGATCCACTTTAATTTTATATAAGGTGTAAGGTAAGGGCCCAGCTTCATTCTTTTGCATGTGAATGTCCCGTTTTCCCGTTTCACCATTTGTTGAAAAGATCTTCGCCCCAGCGTGGTCTTGGCAGCCTTGTAGACTATCAGTTGACCATGTATATGGTTTATTTCTGGGTTCTCTATTCTGCAGAATGCTCAAGGAAGACCCTCCACAGACCTCTCTGTCTCCTTTCTGGCACTCTAACCGGTCGGTCCTCTGCCTTCCAGCTACGGAATCTTTTGATGACCAGCCCAAGCTGTGTTGACCCACATGCAGACAGACAGGCCGGCTGTGTGAATGTCCAACCACAAACGGGTCACGTCTGTACATGAGTCAGGGGGCCTGGAAAGAGCACATACCTCTCAGGGCTTGCAGGCACACTGAGTGACCTTCCAGAAGGGACTGGCCTCAGTGGCCACACTCCTGATGCCCACCTGCTGGAGCTTAGTGGAAGCAGCAGCAGACACCCTGCTTACAAGAAGGTTTCCAGGCACGTGGGGACTTGCAGCCTCAGCCCCAGCTAGGCCCAGAAGGTAAACTCTCCCATAGCCATACTGAAGCTGGCAAACATGGTGCGTGCGGCCAGGCTGACTCGACTGTGTTGTGTGCCTGCTGTGCGGACTTCAAAGTGCGCAGAGCCCTTAACCGTGCGCCCGGACACAGACATGGGTCAGGGAGGTGGTGTGGGAGCCGAGATGGATGGATGGAGGGCGTGCCGAGCAAAGGGACGATCCTCCTCCCGAGGGTCAGCCTCAGGCAGCCCCTGCGGGGGAGGCAGGACGGACTGGTCTGAGAGATGAAATCCGAAGGGGAGGTGGGAGCTGAGGGGCTGCCAAGCTCACCCCCAGGCCTGTGGGGCACAGGCCCGTCCGGCTCAGCGCTGCCCGGGACCCACCCCCAGCCTTGGCAGCGCCCCCTCCCTGCTCTGCTCGGCCCTCGGTTTCCGGAGGGCTGGCGCCTACACGCGAGGGTAACGTCCCCCCTTCGCAGGGGACCCCAGCCCAAGCCCGGCTTCCCTCCGCCGCCTGCCCGCGGCTTCCTCGGGCTCGGATCAACTACAAGCCCTGCTGAGTCCATCTGCACCTGGTCCTCGGCCACTTGCACGGGACAAGTCCCAAGAGGGCTTTGCACAGCCCGCGTCGCCGCTCTTCCGAAGCCGAGGCCCGGGCCCTGCCACCGGCCCGACCCGTCCGCCCTCGCGAGTCGGCGCCCCGCTGCAACCCGCCCCCTACCGCGCAACACGCGGAGGTCCCGCCCCCATCCGCCGGAAGCGGAAGTGCACCCGAACCGGCCAGTCGCGCGGCGCGTCGGGACCCGGAAGCACTTCCCGAGGGCCCGCCCCGCTCGCCAATACCGCTGCCGGGAGACACAGCGCTTCCTTTCTGCGCTCGAGCTCGTGGTGGCGGCAGCAGGTGGGCCGTGCGGCCGGGCGGGGGCTCCGGGGCGGGGGTCGGAGACCGGGGCCGCGGCGGGCGGGGGAGGGGACACAGCCCGGCCTCACGGCGCCGCGGGGTCTCGCAGGCGCGCCCTCGACATGCAGAACGACGCCGGCGAGTTCGTGGACCTGTACGTGCCGCGGAAATGGTGAGCGACCTCCGCCCCCCACTCCCGCCCCCTCTACGCCCCCCACTCCCGCCCGCTCACTGCGCTCCCCCTGCAGCTCCGCCAGCAACCGCATCATCGGCGCCAAGGACCACGCGTCCATCCAGATGAACGTGGCCGAGGTGAGCCGGGCGGCGGAGGGCCAGTCCCGCCGGGGAGGGAGCTGCCAGGGCGGCCTGCGGGGTCGGTCATCCCCGGGCCCCAGGTTTAGAGCGGAAGGTGCCTGGCGGTCTCTGTGACGCTCGCGGACGATTTGCAGGTTGATAAGGTGACGGGCAGGTTCAACGGCCAGTTCAAAACCTACGCTATCTGTGGGGCCATTCGCAGGATGGTGAGTGCGTCCCTGCTGCACTTCCCGGGCGCGCTGGGGAAGGGAGGTGTGCTGGCCGCCCGCCCCTTCCTGGGGGTGCGTTGGGGCGAGGGGCGAGGGGCCGGGAAAGGACCACCCTGACAGAGCACTCGGGTGGGCCTTGACCTTGGCGCTTGCGGGTCAGCAGAGGCGGCCTGGCCTCCAGAGGCGCCCCCCCCCCCCCCGCAGTCAGGTTTGAGGCCAGGAGACTGGGCTAGTCTGCGCCCTGCCAGCGTGGGGGGAGCAGGGGAGATGGCCTACCGTGCTTTTTTCCAGGGTGAGTCGGATGACTCCATCCTCCGACTGGCCAAGGCTGATGGCATCGTTTCAAAGTAAGTAAGAGTGCCTGTGTTTGGGCACAGAGGTCCTGGACCTTTCCAAAAACAAGGTTTTAACATTGTCCTTATTTTTGTCCTAGGAACTTCTGACTGGAGAAGATCACAGATGTGGGATATTTGTCATAAATAAATAGTAAAACCCATTTGTGTCGGTTTGTTGTATGACTGGGTGCGTTCCTCTGGGTGTCAAGAGGGTCAGGGCTGTGCGTGTTTGACAAGGGCCGCTCAGCCGAAAGGAGGTGACAACCTACGGAGTACATTGCAAAACCACATTTTACTTCGAACCACAAATACATTACCATTTGCAAACAAATCACCACATGTGACTGTACAATGAGGTCAGATAGTCGTGCAGCGCGCTTTTCAGTCTACAGCTGCCACCAAGTGCCGAGAGCTGTGTTAGACCCTCAGACCTGTCTCTCACGTCTGGGCTTGTTCCAGAGAATGAGGGATTCAGGCTGGAGTTTGGCTTCGATACTGGCTTTGCTGCAGTGACAGCTGAACACCACACGAGAGCAGCTTTCTGCATGGATGACACAAGGACACACCAAGGGAGAAGCTACGGGTTGTACATGACACTTGTAAACTCCAGTTGTCTCAGCTGTTCTAAGGTCTGCACGTAAATTCCCCAGGACACGTGCCCTTTTCTGAGGTGAAGCTGTGAACTGGGATGTACGCTTCGGGTTGGTCCCTTGCAGTACTTGAAACCTAAAAATATCCTTGAGACAGGTGGTGGGACAAGTTGCTATCCAGAAGGAAACTTCCACCTTCACCTTGGGTACATGTGGTTTAAGGGGCTACGCTGGAGAGGATAGGGAGGTATTCCACAATAAATAAGCTTGGAATATGGACTTGGGCTTTGACCTCCATGCTGCAGTCTCCCCTCGCCCCAGGAAGGAATGGCTGGCCTGTGGGCAGACATGGGTGCTGGGGTCTGGGTGGAGTTGCTGGTGCCTGAGTGCTGTGATGAGAACTGGGGTCTCCTTTTTGCAGAAGCACGGGTCCACACATGAGTACAGGGTGGGGCTGTAGCCTGGGCCCTGTGACAGGTTCATAGGACAACAGTAGGGAAGCAGCTAAATGGCCCGGCCAACATGGTCATTTTTGACAGCAGCTGACCCAAGGGGAGAAACTCCTCAGTTCTTCAGTGTTTGGTGGGGCAGCACGCTGGAGAACCAGGTCACAGAGTGTGCGGAACGGACACGCAGACCTGGGAAAGCAGAACACGGGCCCTGTTGGCATACGGGGCACAGGTGATGGCCACTACCCCTTGGGCTCCTTTCACGACAGCCAGGACTGCTGCTCCCTCCTGCCCGGGAAGAAACTGTGAGCACTGACCCCTTCGGGGAGGTGGTGCCGTGGGGTGCAGGGCCGTGGAGGAGCCCGTCTCCTGCCTGCTTGAGGATCAAGTGTGGTTTCAAGTCACAACTTCAACAGATCTCACGTTTTTGTTCCCTTAAGAAAACCCATAGAACCAAATCCCAAGTAACAATAAATACAGTTTTTCTCCATCACAATATTGCTTAGGAAGATCAAGAGCCAAGAGCAAGCAATCCAGGCATCCTGAAGGTCCAGAGTGTCGCAGGTGAGCAGGGTTTCCCGGTGAGACGTGAGGGGCGGGTCCCCCAGGGGCGGACCAGTGTCTGCGCCGAGGCCCGACGGGCTGTGCGACGCTCGGGCACCAGGATTTCACAGTGACACGATGCTCGGGAGAGTAACAAATGAGATAAACCGGAGTCTGCTCTGGTTGACTTAACCTAATGCCAGAGCTCTGCCTGTGGACACAGGGGAGGCAGGTGGGCATCCCGGGGGTGGGGGGAGGCCGTGGGGGTGCAGTGCTGCGTCTCCGCATCTGAAAACCTGAAATAGCCAAGACTAATGCTTCGTTACGTTAACTTCAGCAATTTCAGCGTGTCAGGTACGGTCTGGAAACCCAGATCTTCACTGAGATGCTTGCGCAGCAGCTGTGGTTTGCGCGAGACGCGGGGGAGGACACTGCAGAGCTGGGGTGACTGCACAAGGTGAGCCAGGGTCCCCGTGCAGCCTGCTCTCAGGCATGTGTGAAAGAACACAAAACCTCCCACCCTGTTCCTGTGAAAACGCAAGCAGGCTCTCAGAATACCACGGGCATGGTGTGCTTTGGAACGAAAGCAGGGTCCCTCCAAGGACGCAACGGTGTGCAGACAGGGTCGTCAGTCACAGAGGGCAGGTGGGTCCCCGCCAGGTGGGTGCTGAAGTGGGGACCGGCGGGCGTGCCCTGCAGTACCTGGGAACACCTCCCTGGCCCGCGTGTGAGTGCCTGCACCGGGGCTGTCTCGGCAGCAGAGGCCAGCCTCCCGGCATGCGGAGGCCAGCCTCGGCTAGAACTGCTGCGTGAGGCGTCGGTAATGAGGTAACACCTGGCTCTCGGGAAGGTAGAGCGCGAGTTCCAAGGCCACCAGCACCGTGAACTCGAACCCAATTAGATCCCGTCTGTTGAATCGAAACCTTTCTTCTAGCTTCTGCGTTGAAAAAGCGAGGAGATTACGCGGGGCCTGGGCTCCGTCTCCCACCCGGGGCAGTGGGTTGGGGTGTGGGTGCAGGCCCAGTTCCAGGTTCCCCGCAGGCTCCCCGCAGGTGGCCAGGCCTTGTTGGGGGTGGGGGTGAGGGGGCTGCAGGCCAGGCCGGGGCGGGACAGGCATACTCACATCGATGAGCTGCTTCACTTCAGTCCTGCGGAGGTCACTGCTGATCTTGGCAGCGAGCAACACGCACGCCCCAGCGCACAGCTTGCGGTTCTGCTTGTTGAGTTTGCCCTGCAGGACCAGCTTCTCGAAGTACACGTAGGCCATGGACACCGTCACGGGCTCCAGGCTGCACTCCTCAGAGAGGTTCCGCATCTCCCGTTTTAAACTGCAGGTTACACGGAGGTCCAGTGCTCAGGGGCCGAGGAAGTGGCCACCCTCTTCCTGCCCCAGGAGGGCCCTTTGGGCTGCTGAAAAAGCCCCATTCCCTGCGGGCAGGCCCGGCGCAGCACTTGGCCCGCAGTGTGGTGGGCGAGCTGGCTGACGTCGGCCCGTGGCACCCCCCACCCCAGCGGTACTGGCTGGCCCACACTGTCCTCCAGAGGACACCACAGAGGACAAGTCCCTGCCGTCCTGTGGCAGCGAGGAGGACAATGCGGGGAGAAAACCGCCTGTGGAAAGGCCCCATGGTGTAGACACGCTGAAGCAGCGTCTAGACCTTCAGTGAAGCTGAAGGGGAGGGGTCAGTGGGATGCAGTGGGGCCAGATGGACCCAGGGCAGGGCAGTCCGCCACTTACTCGCCGTGAGGTCTTGGGCAAGCCGCCTCGGCCCTCGATCCCATCGATCACGGGGGGGTCAGTGCCCGTCTCCCGTGCTGTCCCGGGAGGGCAAGGAGGCGTGGGTATGAGAGGCAGCGAGGTGGCCTGGCCCGCGGAGGTGGTAGGTGGGGGGCTAGGGAGCTGCTTATCTTGGCCTGGGCAGACGGCGGGGCGGGGGGGGGGGCTCTGGGGGGGGCACATCTGGATTCATCAAGCTCAGGGACCTACCGGAAACGGGGGAGGAGAGGAACGGCCCCATCGGGCAGTGGGGCCCAGAGACCTCACCTCAGCCCCCCTTACCTCCGGATCTTGCTCAGCGTCAGTTTGATGTGCGGGAACTTCTCTCGGAAAGTCTCATTCATGTCCTTCTTGAGGTCAGAGGGCTTCACATACTCTATCACCGTGGTCTGCAGGAGAGAAGGCAGCAGGGTAGGGAGCCGGCCCTGCACAGGCCTGGGGGCCCACCCACCCCAGCCCGTGGGGTGATCTCATGCTGGCCGGGGACTGCGATGTGAATGTGCGGCGGCTTCAGGCGCCAGCGCTGCCGAGGACAAGCCTCTGGACAGAGGGCGCAGAGTGGGCAGCCCCAGGCCGTCAGGGCGTGGGCTGAGGGCAATGGTGACCCCAGGGCGGTGTGGTCCGTGCAGCCCTCTGGCCTACCGCGCACCCCCTCCTGTCCCGAGGTGCTGCTGGTGTCCTGGGGGTGGGGGGCACGTCAGCCCTGCCCTGGCGGCTTGCCCTCGGCCTGCCCCCAGACACCTGGAGGCGCGTGGACCGGGCACGCGTGGGTGCTCACCGTACCATGTAGGAGGCAAAGATGAGGACTCGCTTGTGCTTGCCGCAGGGCCACTGTGGGTCGTCCAGGAGGTTGGGGTTATACTCCAGCGCGTCCCCTGCGTCACTCCCTGCATGCAGAGGGCAGCCCTGACCCACCACGAGCCCCCAGCTCTGGCCAACCAGCTTCTGCCAACCCAAGCCTCAGCTGGAACCCTGGTCTAGTGCCGGGGCGGGCGGGGGCGGGGGCATGCTGCTGGGGTCTGGGGTCTGGAAGGGGCTGCAGGCCGTGGTTCCCCGTCCCTGAGGGCTGGGTTGAAGGAAGGCTGTCCTGACGAGGAGGGGCCCCCTGCCCCCCTGCCTCCGTGCCATCTGTGGACATGGGATCTCTCCAGTGCCTGGTTGGATGCAGCCTAGGCTGTCTGCTCTCATGGGAGTCCCTTCTCCTGACCCTGCTCCCGAGCCTGGCGCCCTGTCTGGACTGGGGACTGTGGACTGGAATGGGACTCTGGTCGGCCACATGCTGTCCCTTGCCCAGCTGGTGTGGCTGCCTGCCCTGCGCCCGGTTAGGGCACATGAGGCTACCTAGTTCCGTGCCGGCTGGCGCTGACTTGGCTGGAGCTGGTTTGTATCTTGAGCCTGGCAGAGCACGGGGGATGCTGGGCCGGGGCTGGGGCGGCAGGCCGTGGCTGTCCGTCTTGTGTGTGACCAGGGCGTTGGTAGGGTACAAGAACTTGGCATAAGACACCACCTGGAAAGGCAAGGGTGTCAGGGCTCAGTCCCTATTGCCCCCGGGCCCATGACCCCGTCCTGAGACCAGAGGGCCAGAAAGCCGTGCCTTGCGCCTTCCTGCTGCAGGAGGGCCCCACACAAATGCCACCCTTCCGTGGACAAGGAAGGACCTACTGAGAGCTAACGCTCCCAGGCAGCCCCGCGCTGGATGCTGCTCACCTGGGGTTAGTGTTCTCAGTAACAAGAACATTTCAGAATGCCACCCTTGCCCTCCTGTGTGGGACGTGCAGCACAGGAACCTTCTCCCTGCCTCTGACCGCCAGCAGAGGCGGCACCGGGACACCCTCCTGACTCAGGTCATTTTCATCACCTGGCTGCTGAGTGAGGCAACGGGGCCCGTTCTTACAGGGCTGTGGGGCTTCCTCCCACCCACACTGGGCGTTTTATAAGATTCAGGGGGAAACGCAGCTCCACGTGTTTATTGCCTTGGTGAGCGCGAGCTCTGTGCCCGCCCACCCACCCGCCCCGACCGTAGACGGCACCCACACTTGCCTTCCCATCTGCTCCCAGCTCGACGCCTTCCAACTCAAAGACCATCTCAGAAGACACGGAGACGCCACCGGAGGGGTGCCTCTGCTTCTGGCTGTCCACCCTGAGGTCACTGCAATGCACAGGATGGGGGACAGCTGCTGCCTTCCTCTGCCCCTGGAGGAGGCCCAGTGCTGCCGCTCCGCGGGCCCCGCACTTCCTGTTCCAACACTCTAGAGGTCGGCAGTAATGAGGCAGCACCGACCTCTACCTGAGGCCACCCCCTTGGCCAGCATGGCCCAGGCCCATCCCAGGTCAAGGGTTCCCTGTTGCCAGGCCCCCTGGTGCTGCCCCCACTCTGACGGCCGTGTCCTTCTTCCTGGAGTTCTGCACGGGACGCATTTGCCTGGACTGCTCACGAGGACGCAGGGCAGCATCCCCATGAGGAGCATCCCAGGCATCTGCGCTCAAGCAGCTCAAACAAAATAACGGTGCAGACACAAAGGACCAGGACCCAAAAGGCCTTCAGAGCTCCTGAGGAGCTTTGGCAGAGCTGGTCCCGAGCTCGGTGCCTCCCTGGGCCACTCACCTGACCCGCAGGCCTTCTCCGTAGGGCAGCACTGAGAAGGCTGCACACAGGGACCGCTTGGCGCAGATGAGCACAATCCTGGGGTGGGGAGGTGTTGGTCAGAGTAGGTGGCGGGCGTTTCTGGGACAAAATTCCTGCCCCCCCGCCCCTGGCCTTGGGTGACACAAGCTGCTGGCTGGGACTACTGGGCACCTGGGCTCACTGAAGCCAGCCCAGCGCTCAGGCCTGCTCCTCAGCACCAGCACGAGCCCGTCATGCTGAGGGTCATGGTGAGGGTCATGCTGGGGGGGGGGGCGGGGTCTGGGCCACTGCTAGGAGAACAGAGCTCCCCAACCAGGGCCGCTGGGTGGAGGCTTGGCAGCATGGCCTCCAGCAGGAAGGGCAATGGGCTCAGATGCCTCAGGGCTGGCAGGGCAGGCCGTGAGGGTGGGCGATGGGAACCCCTGGGGCTCCCATGCAGCACCTACAGACACAGAAGCTCCGAGGGCCACCGCACCAGGCGTGTACCCGTTTGGGGTCGCTGCATCCTGGCTTTTAGCTCAACCACCCCTGCGCTTCCCAAACAAACCAAACCTTTCCCTCTTGGCCACATTCCATCGCCACACCTGCTCTGTGTCCCTTCACCTGGGCTACCAGCGAGGAGGACAGGGTAGGACCTAAGCCCCCGCCAGGTGTGAGGCGGACGCGGTGGGCAGCTCCAGGGCTATAGGCAGGGGCCCAGGATTGGATGGCAGCCCTGCTTGTGGGCGGCCACATGCTGGCCGTGGCACGTGGTACCTGCTGTTCCTTGTGTCATACTGCCTCATGTTCTTGATGAAGTGAGTCTTCTTCAGGCCCTTGTGTCTTGGGGATCCAGATATGTGTTTGGTTCTGCGAGGTAAAAGCCAGGTCACTCCTCCCTCCCTCGAGAGCCCCTCTGGCCCCAGGTCTCAGAGACCCTTACCTTTGAACTGAGGTGCACCCCACAGCATCTTCCAGGAACTCGAGAGAGCAGCGCTGGGAGGCAACTCGCCTTCTGTAAAAAGAGAGCAGGGCCTCAGCTAATGCACCCGGGCAGGGGCTGCTCTTGGACCAGACACGTGCTCTCCGGCTTCTCCCTGCCGAGGGGGGGCAGCCCACAGCCACCGACTGGGTCAGGAGCCCGTCTGGGGTGAGGTCTGAGCCTTGGGGAGGGCCACCCAAGGACCAGAGTTTGTCCGCTGCCCGTGGCCTCCTAAAGCTCAGCCTAGCACGTCACAGGCGTCCTCGCTGGCCCAGGACTGGCAGGGTGGGCCGTGCCTACCCACAGCAGGCTGAAGACAATGAGGCGCTGCACGAAGGCCTTCCAAGGTTGGAGGAGCTGCTCCTGGAGAGCTCACAACCTCCTACCCCATGTCAGGGGAGCTTCTCAAGCCTGAAGGCTCAGAAACCCTGCGTGTCTGCACCCTCAGTTTGAGATCACAAACCCCGGTTCCTGGTACCCAGGCCATCACTGTGGTCACCTGTTGACCTCCTAGTCCTTGTGGGGCGGACATGCACATCTCACCAGTAAGGGCCACTTATGACAAAGCTGTGCAGATGGGCCCCGAGTCCCCACACCTTCCCAGGGAGAGGGAGGCTCCCAGAGGCCAAAGCTGCGTGGTCCATGAAACAAAGCAACATGGGCGCCGCACTCAGCCCAGGCCGGCATGTGCCAGATGCCCTGCCGTCTAGAGTGTGAACTGAGTCCGGGCTCCTGGGGAGGGGTCGGGGGGCCACACGTGGCCGAGGAGGCCACTTCTTGGAGATACAGCTGGCCCAGAAGCAACTCTGTCCTCCCGCAGGACCCCTGGCTGACAGATGAGGCCACCTCACCAGGTGGAGTGAGCCTAGAATCCATGAGGCCACCGTCATGTGCTAGGGGCCCAGCCACCACCTCCTGCCACGGAGCCTATGGGAGCACAGAGCAGCTGGGCACCTGCCCCAGGTCACACAACCAGGGCATTCCTGGGGGACTCCAAGGCTGTCACCTCAAAGCCACGGCCCAAGCTCCACTTAAGTCTTTAAAATGACAGAGGCAGCAGAAACTCGTTGAAAAGAAACTAGAATCAAACACAGCACAACCTCTCATGAAACGCTGGGTGTCCCCCCAGTGTGGCTCCACCTCTGGAGAGGGGCGGTGACTGGTGGGGCGGGGGGAGGGCACCTGCCTGCCGGATGAGCGTGCTTGAGGGTGATGTGAGCGAGAGTCAGTCAGATAGGGGAGCCCAGGCTGGAGCCGTGGTCTGAGGACCAGCCGGGGGGGGGGCGGGGGCGGGGAATGGGCACAGGGGCCTCTGCAGGCGGGTGTGCAGCTGCTCAAGGGACGGCAGGAGGGCCATGTCCGGCGGACACCCAGCACCCTAAGAAGCCTGGGGGTGGTGCGGGTGAGTAGGTGGATGGGCCGGACCTGTGCCAGGAAAAGCCGCTGACTTAGGTAGAACCCGAGTATCCCTGGAGGTGTGTGCATGCGGCCCTGCAGGGCTGGGCTCAGAGGCCCCGTGGAGCGGCCTCATGTGGCTTCCTCAGGGCATTTTCCAGGTGGTGCCCCAGTGGCTTCCGCACACCTGGGACCTCACCTGCAGGGCCCAGGCCAGCAGCGACCTCCACAGAGGCCTGGCCCTGCACACAGCCTCTGGCCCGCTGCCCGGCAGGTGAGACATGGGCCTCTGCCGCCTCGCTCGTGCCTTCTGTTGATTCTGGGATGATGCCCCTCAGCTCACCAGGCTTTAAAATCTGTTCCCAGTTGCTTTTGCAGGTACCTGTGGTTTTCTTCCACTTCTCTCTCCTCCTGAGCATTTTACAGATACTCAGCCCTCATGATAACTGCACACGATGGGCAGTGTTATTCACATGTGGGGAAACTGAAGCACAGAGCGGGCAGGCAAGCTGCCCGAGATCACACAGCTGGTCAGGTGGTACCGGGACCTGCATGCCCGTGGGCGTTCTGTGCATTTGCCAACAGCAGCAACACTGCCCCCCCACCCCCCTGCAGACCCCAGGGCTGGGCTGGCTGGAATTGAGGCCACCCCTCAACCATGCCTTCGGGCGCTCCTCTGCTGAACTTGGCCTGTGTTCCAGGTGTGCTGTCTGGGCTGGCATGAAAAGCCTGTGACAACACTGATCACCGAGCCCCGAGCTCTGAGGCGCAGGTCTGCGGGGGCACGCGGGACATGGGAGGCCCAGGTGTGCAGGCCTACTGTGTTCTTGGGATCAGGATGATGTGCAGATATGGGGGGGGTGGTATATCCCCATCTGCAGAGGGCCGAGTGAGGGCACAGTGATGAGCTGATGGCTGCAGAACATTCTGGAAGTACATCGTCTGGGCAGGAGAGAAGCAGCCTGCACGCTCCCAGGGATCCCAAACTCTTTGGGTGTGGAGGTGACCACGTATCAGGCGGCACCTGGTCTGCAGGGTTCTCAGAAAGTGAAGGCGGTAGGGAAGCTGGCAGTCAGAGCCCTGGTCGTGGACGCACACGACTGTCTAGGGGCTGCCCCAGGTGGTCAGGCGGTGCCTACCCTTCCCAGAACGTGGAGCAGCTCAGCTGCTCCAGGGACAGTGCCCCTTTCAAAAGGGACTGCTGGCTAGTCAACCTCTGGCAGGTGGCTCCTCTGGAGGAATGTCCAGCCCCTCAGTGAGTCCCGAGGTGAGAGCACCACGGGCTCGCATGTGGCCCCAGCAGGATGGGCCCCCCAGCACGGATGGGCCCTGGCCAAGGATGCCCTGCTCAGCCTCTCTGGCAAGTGCCCCCCAGGAAGGTGTCTGTGCGGCCAGCAGGCATGACAGGACCTCCCAGCAGCTGCCCCTGAAACAGTCCCCACGGGAGGCAAGCCAGCGCGATCAGCAGGAGGCCGGGCACACTGCTCTCGCAGCATGCCTGGACACACAGCACCCATGGCGGGGACTGAAGCTGGCTGCGGAGAGCTTCTGGGGGACAGCGTGTGCTGGCCCCAGAGCGGGACACACATTTTACACACCCATTTAAAAACACTGCTAACAAGTACACTACAAAGAACAAAACTTGGGCTCTCTGCTACCTGAGCCGCTCCCCTCCCCTGCCAAGTCGCCCCAGCCCAGGAAGCCTCTCTGCTGAGCCACGGCCAGGGCCAGGGTCTGCGGGATGGGGTCTACTCGCCGGCGACTGGCCCGAGGCTGCCTGCATAGGACTCTTTGGGGAAGAAGGAGCCAAGGGTCAGGGGTGTGGGAGAGGCACAAGTGGCCACTATACGGACCTCGGGCCTGCTCACCCTCTGGCTCACTGCCAGAATTGCCACCCCCACCCCAGATGTGAAATGTGCCTGCCAACAGGAAGAGAAATCACTACGAGACAGCTCCCATTGTCTGACGAACGCCCTTTACTTTGTCACTGCAGAAATACCCAGCCAAGGAAGGCTCCCACCTGAGGTCTGTTTGAGGGCCGAGAACCACCCAAACAGAGTGAGGGGCCCAGTGAAGGGGTCAGACCAGCTGGCGTGGGCTGTTGACAGGCACTCGTGCCCACGACTTGGGCCCCCTCCTGCTCCGTGCCCATCTGAGCATGGCACCCGACCTCGCAGATCCTTGTGCATATTTGTCCAAGGAGTGGTGGTCCTGGGCACCCCATCTCACCAAGTCCCTGCCAGGAAAAGCACAAACCCCACATTCCAGCCAACCGCTCTGAGAGGCCCATTCCCCCAGTAATGGGACCCCAGGTGTGGTCTCTGGGAGCCAAGTCTCAGCAAGGCCTCCGAGCCACCACGGGAGGATGCGCCTCTAGGCTCTTACCTCGGCAACCATCTCCAGCTGTCCTCCAGCAAGAACCCCCCAAATCAGAGTTGTAAGCAAACTGCCGGATGCTACATTGAAATTGGTTCAATTTGGACAGGAGCTTGGCAGCTTCAGGAACACGAAATGGCTCCTGGTCAGCATGGCAGCTAAAATCCCAGGCCCTTTCTCAGAATCGTTCCAGTGTGAACTGTCCAGAGCTGTGAGGCTTTCTGCTCCCAGCTACCGCAGCAATGTCCCTGGCCTCATGGCAGCACCCCTAGCTCCCCTGTGCCTTGGACACTAATGACGGCTGTCGTGGGCTGAGCTGTGCCCCCCAAAAAGTTATGTTGAAGTCCTGACCCCTGACATGTTACTATGACCCTGGTTAGAGACAGGGTCTCTGCAGATGTGACCAAGTGAAGAGGGGGCCCTTCAGGTAGGCCCTGATCCAATCACTGGTGTCCTTACAAGGAGAGGCTAGGTTCAGACACAGACACACAGGACAGGCACCATGAAGACGGAACAGAGGCTGGAGGGATGCCTGGGGTCCCCCGGAGCTGGGGGGAGGCAGGAAGGCTCCTTCTCTGCGGCTTCCAGAGGGAGCACAGCCCTGCCCCGCCCCGATCACAGCCCTGTGTCCCCTAAGACAGTGAGAGGAAGTGAGGCTGCGGTCCGACGCTGCCCAGCTCGTGGGCCCCGCCTCGGGTTTTCTAGGAGAGGGGGGTGCAGGGCCTGAGAACCTGTTTCTGCCAGCTGGAGGAGCCCAGAAGCCCGCCTGCTTGCCTTAAGTGACCGTGGTGTTGAGATGAAAGTAAACACCGTGTTAGAGGTTCTAGGAGGGAGGTTTGGACTCCAGTGACTTGCTCACTGGCTTAGCAGGAAAAGCCACACCAGGCTGAACCCTGAGGGTGAAACACAACTTACCTGCTGTGGACTGAGTGTGAGCACTCACTGGGTAACCTGCTTGTGACAAGTGTCTGCTCACCTGGCCCTGGCCACAGCCAGCCCTCGCTGAGCCCTTGACCTCATCTGACCTCACATAGCCCCTCAGGTAGGTAGTACAGAAGGCAAAAGCACTTCACAGGGGAGTAAACTGAGGCTCAGTGAGGCTCCTGCCCAAGGTCACAACAGAGCCCCTGACAGGTGGACCTAGGATGCCAGCGCGTCTGTCCCCAGAGCCTGGCTCAAACCACCACACTCATGGTACAGACTTTAGGAGGGGGCCCCACTACCCCTCACTCTGGAAATACAGCTGATCCTCAGACTGGGCCTGCAGCTAAGAGCCCCTTGGCTTGGCTGGACACCCCTCATGCACTCTGCAGCAACTCTCTTGGGCAGAGCCCGAGGAGGAACAGTTCTGCACAGGCAGGTGTGGCCCCGGGGGGCAGGAAGGAGGGAGCAGCCGGAGAGGGGTCATGTCCTGGGTGGAGGGGCAGAGGAACGGGGGGGGTGCAGCGGGAAAACCAAAGGGCGCCCGACTCACATCATTCCCATCCTGCGCTGGCGTCCTCCCAGGCTCCTAGGAATGGGCAGTGCGGGGGCACCACCAGCCCCTGTGGCCTCACAGGGCTTCTGCTTACAGGTGCTGCATCCAGCACCCACGCCCCCCGCCAAGCCCTTCCCTTGAGCGTGGCTCCAAGGGGCAGGCTGCCGGCTAACCTGGTTTGCAGGGCCTGGCCCACAGGAGGGTTGCCTGTTTGCTGAACAGAGAGCCTAAAACAACATGCAGTCTGCCCAGAATGCACATGCACCCCAAAAGGGGAAGGGGGCGGCCCAGCGTCAGACACTGGATGGAGAGAGTAGACACAAACTGCTCACAGGAAGCTCGGGTCTGGCAACAGATGAGCCCCCTTCCTTCTGAAGCCCCATGACTCGTCAACACCACAGAGGGACTCCAGAGCCCCGGCGTGATCTGGGGACCATCCTCTGGGCTGACTCTACAACTTCAAGGAAGAGAACAAGTAGGCTTTGGGGCTCTGGTTTTAAAATGGCCTGATTTCCACGGATAAAAGTTTTTTCTGAGCATTAGCCTCCTCTCGGATAAGCAGTCCCGTCTCCCCAGGGATGGCAGGAGCATGCTGCTGAGCTGCCATGTTTGGGGCTGAATGATTGCTTGGCTCCACTCAGCCCCCTAACCGTCTCTGCGGCCTCAACCAGGCCTGTTTGTGGAAGGGTCAGGTCCACGGGCATCCTCCTGGCCTGGCCAGGAGGCAGCCGCTTCTCCACAGAGTTGGAAATACTTCCGTCTACGGTGTGACAGTGACCTCAGTAAGCACTCATCCATGGGCCACACATGAGAACTCAGAATGTAACATCAAGAACTCTGACCAAGGCTGCATTCTGGACTCAACCCCATCATCTTCAGCACTGTCTGACGGCCAGGGGTGTGAGGCAGCCATGATGACCTCCAGGTGACAAAAGCCGCCTCTGAACTCCAGGGACTCAAGGCTTTGGCCCACCCATGCAGGGCAGTGAGCTGTAGGGCTCTGCTCTTGGCCCCTCCCTGCATATCTGCGGGGCCTGCCTCAGGAGGACCTGCCCTGCAGCTCTGTTCTGCAGACAAAGGCTAAGCAATGCCCTTCCAGAAGGACTGCGAGAGCACCTGTCCGGAGTCCCAGGCCCAGGCACCAAATCACTCCTCACGGTGAAGGTGGGCAGTGGGAGGGTAGGGGATAGCCCCAGCGTCTGGAGAAGGGGGCCAAGGAGGCTGGGGCACCTAAAGCTGAGCTCTGCAGGCAGCTGTGGAAGGGTCTCTGGGAGAAGAAAGTGGGGTGTCTGGCAGCCAGCGGCTTTCTGGGCACAGGCAGACTGGAGGGGCAGGGGTGGTGGCTGCTCTGGGTTGGGCTGAGGGCTTCCTAGAATCAGGGTAGGGAGAGTACTGCAAGCTGGGAATGGACAGGGCAGGGAAGACTGGAGGGGTCACCCAGCTTAGAGAACACAAGGAGACACACAAGGGATGCTTGAGAGTTCCCTGAGCCCTGGGACTGATAAAAGTGGGTTGGGGAGGGGCGTGTCCAGGGCTGCCAGGGCTGTGTGTCTGGGGGCTGATAAGGGCTGAGGGAACCCTGAAACTCAGGTTTCAGGGGATTGCGAAGGTTGAAAGGGGCTGACAGAATTAAGGGGACCATGACCCCTGTGTCTGGGGACACGGCCTGAGGACCGCTGACCCCCACATCTTAGACTCATGGGGCCCAGGCAAAACTCTCTTTCTAGTGCTGGCAAAGCCCAGGACACCCCAACCCTGTGTCTGGGGCTCCCAGGGGAGCAGGGTCCCCTTCTGATCCCCAAGTCCTGTGCGACCCTCTGTCATGGGCTACCAGGGCCCCAGGTGACCCTGCTCCCCAAGTCCTGTGCAGATGGGGCCCTGGACCACTCCACCCCCATCCCCTGGACCCATGACCCCCAGGTCACCCCGACCCTGTGTCCTGGGCTGTCAGGTCACCCCAGCCCTGAGCGGGTCCGGCCCAGGGTCCCCACTCACCTCTGGCGCTGCACGTCCAGCCCGAGTCCCAGGCCGAGGCTGAGGCTGGCGGGCGCGGGGCCGGGCGCCGGGCTGAGCAGGCCCTGGGGCGCCGACGCCCTGCCCGCGGGCCCGGGCAGCCCTGGAAGGCCGGCGGGGGGCGCGGGCAGAGGCGGCGGCGGCGGGGCCCCGCGGGCGGGGGGCTCGGGCCCCGGGGGTCCTGGTGGTCCCGGCGGCGGCGGCGGCGGCGCGGGCGGCTCGCGGGCCTCGGCGGGCGGCGGCGGCGGGGGCTTCTCTCCGCCCGGGCCCAGGCTCGGGGGCCGTCCGTCCAGGGAGATGTTGTTGAGGAAGAAGAGCGCGGCCTGGCGGCGCCGCGAATCCCCCCGCCTCCGGAGCGCCTGCGACGGGGCCCTGGCAGAGGGGCCGGGGCCGGCGGGCGGCGGGGCCCTGGCGGGGCC